GCAAGCCGACGTGCGCTGCGCCAACACGCAAAATGAAAACAAGGAAGAGCATCCGTGACTTCTGGGCCGAAGTGTCTGCACCCGGGGCACATTATATCCCACTAAAAATCTAGATTTTGGGACCAGAAATTCTAACCACTTGATTAATGGTGAAGAAACTTATCCACTTTTGAAGATTTAAGTTCAGTCCTCTTTAAACATATCTTGAATAATTTGATTTAGCTTCCCGACGGACGCACAATTCGACTGGGTGGTGAGAGATTTGAAGCGCCGGAGATTTTGTTCCAGCCACATTTGATAAATGTCGAGAAACCGGGACTGTCAGAGACGCTTTTCGGATGCATTCAGTCCAGTGACATCGGTGAGCTCTCAATTCATACTAAAGCTTTACTTTTCAATAAGTGTGATTGAGCTGATGAACTGGTCCAGCGCTTCATTTGGCATTTCATTTCGCATTGCAGTTGCCTTGAGTTTTCGTTCCCACCAGTAGTGCCTACTTCCTTTTTTGCCTCCCATCTGGAAGTGGTGAAATCAGAAATGAATACTGCTTAGGCCAAATTCAGTAAGTGATCGGGGAGGCAAAAAAGCGCTCTCCGATCACTACTTGAACTTCCCTCCCTCCGTGAATCGCATCAAACCTCTCATTCATCCCTTCTTGCAGATACGCGCCTTGATTTCTACAAGCATATTGTATTATCTGGTGGATCAACAATGTATCCTGGATTACCGAGTAGACTTGAGAAAGAGATGAAGCAGTTGTACCTGGATCGTGTTTTGAAAGGAAATACAGATTTGTTCCAGGTGAGATCCTTCTTCCTTTGTACGATGCTTAGAATGTTTTGAAAAAAGTTTGCCATTTCACCAGTCATGCAGTTTTAATGCGCTTCTGTTGATTGTTTGTAATTTCCACTTTTGCTTAAAGTCAGTGGGCAGGATTGCTGGCAGGGTACAGCATCGTGATGTGTGAGGTGGTGGTGTAGGTACGACCCCCCCCTCCGAGAGAGGGTGTCAGTACGACCCCCCCACCTAAATGAGGGTCTCGGTACGACCCTCACCCCTTCCTCAACGCCTACCTACCATTTCCCACATTTCCAGTCCAGTTTTTCACTCAAAAATTTTCCGTCAGGGGGATGGGTATATAGCACCTGTGAAACGGAAGAATTTCCCCAGTTTCCTACCACTTTTCCCGAATTTCCCGAAAATTTTCCTAATTTTTCCCCTAAAATTTTGC